ACAACGTTACGACGGAACATCCTACGCACGCCGCGATGAGGAACGTCGACGATTCCACGGCGGATGAGCAGCTAGCGAAGCATCGTGACGTCGGTGGACTATCATCGTATCAATGCGGCGGAGATTGACAGTCCTGGTCGTGATAAATGATATTTCCAGCGTCCTACTCCCCCTGTACCCGCTCCTCTTCCTCCCTCGTACCACTGCGGATCCATCCCCGCTGAGTTCGGCTCGGCACGAGGGTGCCCCGACCGAGCAGACTGAGTAGTGAGGAGGGAAGATATTCGCGGCGAGAAGTAAGTAAACACGTTACGCAAACAAACGTTGAATCGATAATTCCTCTCTCCTTAAAAGTACACTTCATACATGAAATTTGCAAAAATATATCTGACAGAAATATTTCTTTATTGAAACGTACCGATTCTTGATTAACCAACTCCTTGGAATTCTTCGATACATAAACGACTCTTCGAACACCAAGCACGACAGTGTGAAGTCTGAAAAATTAAACGCTCCAAATTTGTCAATGCTTACTTTATGGGACATGATGACTTCCCGGTTCTTTATGATGAATGAGTCATAAATACTCTCGAGTCGTAAACTCGTGCGCACGATGATACCTGAGACCTTTACGGCTTTTCTGCATTTAAATGTGAGACTATAAAACTATTTTCAACGTCCCAGCAAATAACGTTAGCTTAGTTTTCTCCGATGTCTGTATTAAAAGAGAAATTGATCGCTTTATAAAGTGCACTTCACGGAAAGCGAGTCAAGATATAGACAATATATTTATGCAATTACATATTTCATGAAACATCTGAAGTGTACTATTGATTTTCAATTTCACACGAGCTGAAGTAACTATATAAATAAGCACATATATTGTATTTCGTAAAAAAACAAAATTTATTAAGTTACCTACATATAATATAATTCGGCAAAAAAAGTTTTTACTTTGTACATCTTTGACAAAATAATTTAACAAGACATATAATGGAAAACTGTATGTGAATAGCATAGGAAACACAACAAAGCCAGGTTTCTTGTTAGATTTTTCGGTGTCCTTTGCCATTCTATGCCGACAAAGATTGGGCAATTGTTCGAAAGTTTCGTTTCGAAAAGACACGTTCTGCCCCAACGTTCTCAGCATGATCTAGTGACGTTTTGATAGTTATTGTTAGAAATAAATTTATTACAAGAGACACATGTGTATAACGCGAATTTATTATTTTTATGTTAAAGGAAAAAGATTTGCAATTGAAAATATTACAGTAGATTTAACACTAATCGAATTATTTTAACAATAATAAATAAACAAGATGCTAATGGACTCTCTACAATAAAAATTATAAAGTATAGAAATACAGGCGGGAGAACCAACCGCAGAACTTAATACATAAAACATATATTTTTTCAATTATACATAAAGAAATCTGATGTTCAACTCCGTACGTTACAACTATACGTTTAACATATTTTGGATACGTGGTTGAGCTCTCTTCAGAAACCAATACATAAAATTAAATAACAAGACTTTATCTTCTCAAAAGAAAAACTGTGCTAAGTTATTCTCAGAGCAATGAGAACTGTTTACACGACAATTGGAAGACTGTGTGGAGAAATTTGGGTATACAGTCGTGAACAAAGTGTAGTCGCGATGAGAATATAAAACTGTCATTTAAGTATGAAAATTAGTTCAGTCAATGTAATATTAAAAGAACTATATAAGAAATGATTGCGTCCTTATTGTAACCGACACTGACTCAAATTATTTTATTAAAGTTTTTAAGACAAATATATATTTAAATTTAATAAAATATTTAAGATATCAAAATAAATAATTATTTTATATTGATATATAAAATACCATAGATGGCATAATTGGTCGCAGAATGGCACACCGCAAACGAAATAGAAATTAATCATACAATAATAGATACCGTCTGGCTTGATTTCGATACCCCCAATTTTCCCAAATGGCTACGAACGTCTTTCTCTCTCTTTCTCCCTCTCCTTTTCTTTCCCTTTCTTCCCCTCCCTTTCCGTTTTTGCGAAAATTCCTTATTTCAATGGTCGCTCACATGGCGGAGAATCGGCTAGGGATTGATCACATATGTCACCCTATGAGATGTTACACCGTTCGAACAACGCAAACCTACGCAATCTGCTACATTAACTAATAATCAGTGTAAATATATTTCTCAAATATTTTATATTTTGTACAGTTTTGTACTAGACTTAATTTTTATACGCAATAAATTTTTAAACGTAGCATAATATTTAGAGAATAAAGTGGATTATACAAAATTATATAATTTTGTGTTTAGATTATTATAAATTTTACTATGATTGCAATGTTTCTATTTTACCCGTTTAATATTTTCACTTGTACATTGATGATTGTTGAAAGCATGTCACGTAAAAATAGCAAGATGATTTGTTGAATATTGTCATTTTTGATAGTTTAGTTGACTTTTTTTAGTTGACTTTTTTACGCTTTTCTTTTTGAAATTATTGCCATCCAAGGTCGTAAAAGGCTTCAGGTTTTGTTCACCTTTACCTACCTGACAGAGCAACCTTATAGAGGACTACATGTTGTTTCTAATACAATAGTCACAATAGTCACGTAGCTTGCATAAAAGTGTCTAGTGAAAGTTAAGACAAGCGCGACGAATTTTTCGATGGACTGAGATAACGTACAAAATCTAACTAGTTTAACGTTACTATAAAAGAAACTTGTAAAGCGTAAAAATTATTTTATTTTGCAACATTCCAAGATGCATATTATTTAGATCTCTTTATTTCTTAATAATTATAATAAGCTTATCTCATGTCATCATAAACAAACATTATATAATAAGATAAACTTACATAGTAATGCCTTTCAAGATAAAAAAAATGTGTTGAGTATCGATTAAGCTCACATTGAGAGCAATCAAATTACTATCAACGTGTGATAATTATGCTATTTTAATTTTTAGAAAACGTTCTATAACGTTTCTATAACGTATATTATACATCGACGACACAACGCAAGCCAGCGAAAATAAAGTCAGTAGCCAAAATCATTAACGGAATGCTCCCAACTCGGAAACCCTCGACCCTTCCCACAAGTATCGCCCGTCAGGGATTATTATTTATTGCTATCATGCCAGTCGACTAACATAGAATGCATTTCACGTCCACACGCGTGAGAGTGCGGAAGCATTCTTCTAGCGTCGTTTAATTCACCATGTACGCCTAAATTTGACTGTATACATGTGACGCGTACGAATGTGTGCATGCATGCAGACGCGTGTCCGCTCGGATCGGCCGTTTAGAATCCCCGCCCGTAGGATTGGTCACCATTTCGAACGCAACTATCAATCACTTTTTTTCGACCGTGTTTTACTATTTATAGTTTGTCCGCAAGGCCGTCTATTATCTTCAGTTAAGGATAATTGTTTTCTTTCAACTCTAGCCCTCTTTACGCCTTGTCCATCGTGTTTAATTAATACGTCTCATTTAAACGTCTCTTAATATTCCTGTTATTTTATATAATCGACGATAAACATTCGGCGGAATCCGCCATGTAAATATGCTTACAAATATTAACGTTAAGAAGAAAGATTATTCCGTTTGACTAATACATAACATAAACAGATACTCATGCTTCTACACTCGTGGCAATTGTTTCTAATCCTGCGTTTACGAATTAATAACTAAAGTGAAGAAATGTTTAGAGCCGAAAACGAAGAAAATTAAAAGAAAAAAAAAAGAGTGAAAGAAAAATACGAAAAATAAAGTAAGTATAAACTCTGTTAGTTTCATTTTTTTACGTCTGTTTTTATTTATTCTGATGGAAAAATTAGATAAAAATGGTTTGATAACAAAAACAAAGAAATTTAAACAAAAAAAGTATCTATTTTCCGAACAATTTTGCGACTTGGAAGAAAACAAAAAGGAGGTATTATTATTAATAATTAATCAGTTTTGAAAAGAAATTTACTTTGGAGATTTTTAAGTTAAAAATAAAGATTTTATATTATTGATGTTTCCGATATATTTGTTTTTTGCATTTCATAACATTTTTATTTTTTGTCATTTTCGTACTTAATTTACAATATAATAATAACAATATTTAGTACACGATTAAATAACATAATGAAAATTACCGTGAGATTGTTAACGTATTACTTCTATAAGTAATCTTATATTAAATGTAAACTGTATTTCTCTTCTCTTAGAAGCTCGATTCTATAGCAAAAATGTATGTGCACATGGTAACACGGTATTGTGTGAAGTTGAAGTCGGATTGGAAAGAGAAGAGAGGGAACAGTATAGGTTTTGGTGTCAGTAGTGTGAATAGTGGGAGGAGACTATAGCGCGAACAACAGAACAAAAATCGAATATATATATTGGGGGTGGCCTTAGCAGTGAATGAAAGAGCAGCTGACAAAGAGACAGAGCCCCCCTGCGATACCTCGGTCTAGCAGAGAGGCGCCTATGGTGACTTTTGCCAAGGGCAATAGTATCCCCCTCTCCATTCTTTCAAAGATCTCCGACATTGAAAAGCTCTGTCGGGGTTTTCGATAGAACCGTAAAGTCTTCCCCTCCTCCTCTTTCCTCCCTTCCCGTTATACCAATAACACCCCTAGAACAACCGAAAATCTGTATAGGTCACAGCAGTGACTCGTAACTAGTCTTGCCGTATGCTTCGATTTTACGAAATGTGAATATATGTGTATATATGTTTTGTGAACTTTAAGTCGTGAAGTCTCGCATTCGGATTTATAAGTGCAAAAATTAGAGATTTTTCATAGATTTATGGCCAGCGATTTAGTTGGCGTGCAATAATTGTAATGCAGCTGTACATAGCTGTTAGCTAAAAATAAGAATATGTGATATAATCAAGAAACGCGCGGTAGCGTCTCGCGTAAAGTATATGTGTTCGCGATACAGATAGCGAGACCGACAGACAACAGTCAATCATTAAATTATACATGTGAATTTGTGATAATATGGCTACGAATTCAAACAACGATCCGTACTATTCCCCGATAAATGTACCATCATATCAGACGTATTATCAGCAAGAGAGCAGACCTGAAGGACACGTGTCATCATCTAACAGTTTATTAAGGGATAGACTAGTACATGGCAAAAAAACAGTGACACAAAATTATGCATATTCATACACAAACGTAAATGGTATGACTTCGTCATACCAAATCACGCCAAACAGTCAAATGATTTCAGATAATTCACATCAAACCTCTTCTGGACTAGAATATCCTTCATCATCTGAAATATCGGTGAAGGAGTGTGAGGAATTTCTTAACAACTTACAATTAGAAGAGCAAGGTCAGCAAGAAAAATATAATAAATATGATCAAAATTATCAAGGACACAATTATGTGCAATCACATAATTATACTTTATGTACTCCTGGACCATCCACTTCCATTTCAATGCAATGTGAACAAGAGAAGTCAAAGCAGCAAGCCATGTTTAATGTACAACAAGAATTGCAAAGCGGCAGCTATAACAATAATAACAATAATAACAATAATAACAATAATAATACAAGACAAAGAAACAAGAATATTATGTCCAAGTATAACAGACAAAGAGAGCCTTATTCTAACAACGTTGGAAATTATCCATGGATGTTTAAAAAGACAATGGGTTAGTTATTTACTGTAATATATATTATATATATTATAACATATATATATATATATATATATATATATATATATATATATAT